CTCAGAATGGTTTAATTTGAATGAAATATTTTCACAAGTTTTCGTTAATTACATTAGAAAAAAAAATTAAGGTAATTGGATTTTATTTGGTTAAGGTACAAAAATTAAGATCAAGTTTAGTTTATTGTATTATTAATATTAAAATTATGCATTATTTCTTTTCTATTTATAGAGCTTCTTCCTAAAATACTTTCTTAAATATGACATGATTTTTTTGGCTTCTTTTAAATCGAAAAATGTAAGTCAATTTATAATTAATGCTCTATTCGGTTCATTTTAAATTAGAGAATTATTAGGAATTAGCGAAATACTTTAAATAAGTATTTCGCTAATTCCTAATAATTAAATAGATATTAAATAGTATTTGACTTTCTCTGAACATTTCTGAAAGGGAATAAAATAAGTTTTTTTTTTTTTTTTTTTTTTTTTTTTTTAAAGTATTATTTAAAACTTGTAACTGAGTTATTATAAAATGTAAAGGGAATAATTCTTTTATACTTATCAGATTTTTTTTTTTTATCCTTCATTTCAACAATACATATTCCAAAACTCTTTATTACGTTCTTAAGTGCGCATCTCGTAGCATTTGCTTTACAATACCTTTTAACAGATTGCTTTCCAATACGAACAATTCTTGCTTAAATAATTTTATAACGTATTTGTCAACAGGATTTCAATTTGTGTCTACAATTCAATATTAAGGTTATTATATATTTAGATAACATTTATAATCATTATAAATTAGATACATTTAATCATTAGATTTCTTCACAGTACTTTCACAGTTGTTTATAAGTGAATAAATTCTTCATTTCAAATACATTTATAAATAATTTAATGAATATTTAAGTATTTTGTCAAAGGCAGATACATGCTTTTTGCAAGCACATGCATAAATACCCATACATATTTCCTATTTATCATTTCCGGCATGTGCAAATCTTTAATTTCTGTGCATTCACTATATTTTTCGTGTAAAGTAATTTACACTAATTTAGCATACACCCGAAAGTTTTACATAAAAAATATATATGAATATAATTTGAATGAAAATTATAAGTATTATTTTTAATATCCACTCAAACGTCAGTTTTTCTTCACAATTCCTCCACGATGGCATCTCTCTCTTTAGGCAGATAGCCCTTGCATGCGTTACTCTATTTAATAAAAACTTAATCTGACCTATGTGCCTAATTACAAATATTTTAACATACATAATTTTATATTTACATTTAGCCATCAAGTTTCAAACTTTTCAAATCTTCTAGAAAATAAATTTTGGCATATCTCTTTTAGCAATTTTCTTAAAATCTATATTTTTGTAGTGCAACAGCTTAGAATTTTATAAAACAAATTCATAATCAAAATCGCTGTTGTTAGTTATCGAAAAATAACCAAGGATGTGATTTTTGCGTAAATGTCAGTAAACTATACAAATTGCTATTATCCATTACACTATGAATGTTTCTTTCATGCGAGAGTGTCCCTTTTTCGATTTCTATGGAACTGTCGTGTGTCGAAATACTATCAGAATCTTGTCAAGCGAGCTTCTGAATGTAAACAAAGAACACCCCGTCTGGTGACCCAAGCTTCAAAGCAGTGCTTCACTTCTAGCTCGGAATGGCCCCTCCTCCCTTTCCTACCTCCATGGAATGGAACCTCATAAAATCTTGGGTTCAGAAGATGACACACTCATCTCTCTGGCGGCTATTATCTTAGGATGGTTCTGGGACTCCAATCTTATCAGCTTCTTTGGAAATCGCGAGAGGTGGTGGATGACGTGTGTAGCCATCATTATTAATGTTTCCTCCATTATGCACTGTTTTGTATTAGCTGAGAAATACTTAACGACAGAGGAGAATCTTGTCTAATAGCGCATGCGTCACCAAAATTGGCGCTGAAATATATTCTGTGAGAAACTTGATTTTTGTTGTACGTTCGGAGTTGCGATTCATATGTTACTCTGTAAGAAAGAAACCTAGCGCCAGTGTGTCGCTATGGAAAAATAAATGTATTGAAAGTCTGAGCATGTTATTTTCTGTAAAGTGTGTGGTGTTATTTTATTGTGGTATATAGATATCGACGGGAAATAGAATAATTCAATTTATGCATCTGGTGGACATCTCGCTGCCATAGTTGAACGTCTACATTTGTAGTGTAATGTAGCCGTCCATCCTTGGTTTGGCCGGTTCCAAATGTCCATCGCCTGTCGCCCTGGCGATAATTTCTTACTGCAATTTTATCGCCAACCCTAAATTCCAGTCTGCAAACTCGTAGGTTTCTTTTCGAACTCTATCTGCCACCCTCCTTTTAAGATCTGGTCTCAATAAGTCAGTTTTTGCTCGACCTTCCCTCTTCAGCATTGGCATTGCAAGGCTCTGTAAAGTAGTTCGGAGTCTTTCTGCATTGTATTAAAAATGTACTGAGTTTTTGTCTCGTAATTTTGTATGGTTCTTAAGGATTACTTTACTGTAAACATATATCGTTCAGCCAGCCTATTACTCGTTGATTTATATGATACTGTGGTTTTGTGTTTGATTCCATTACTCTGTAGGAATATTATCAAAAACATGCTCTCAAAATAGGTCCTGCATAATCAATGTGAATATGGAGCGCTCAGGTATTCCCAGTGATGGGTCTTTATCTTCCGAAGATCTAATTTATGTTTTGCACTTTCAAAATGGTTTTGGGAAGTATCTTCGATATCCTTACCGATGCCATTCCAAAATACATAAGATCTAGCAAATGCTTTCATCTTTGCAGTCTCTAAGTCTCTGCGGTGCAACTCTTTTAACACACTCTCACGGTATCATTTTGGAACACAAACGCGTTGGCCATACAGTATACAGCCATCTTGGAGATTGTATTTCATCTCCTTTCCTTTCAATTTACCGCCGCTTTTAAGTATTCGTAGCACAAGACTGAGTTCTGCACCAATTTCAGTTTCTTTAGCCAAATCTCTGGCCAGTGATAGTGACAATGACACATATAAATCTAATACATATCCTAAGTCGCGCTTTCGAGACGTGAAAAAACGCGAAAAGTTGAATTTCATCAATCGGCCCAATAGAACGAGAGATATAGAACTGTTCCCCCCCCCCTCTCTTTTTTTTTTTTTTTTTTTTTGTTTAGTGTACAACGTACTTCACTTCATTTTAAAAACATTTTATTTCTTTCTCTGATATCGCATTTCTAACTTGCCAAGTTTTAATTGTTAATAAATTACGTTAAAAATTTGACTTCTCCAATTAGAAATTAACTTGTCAAGTTTTAATTATCAATAAATTACGTTAAAAAAATTTGACTTCTCCAGTTAGAAATTATCTCATAGGGAGAAATTAGCTTCCAAACGCAAAATAAGATATATTCGCAAATTAAGGTTATAGTTCAGCTTTTATCAATTTCGTATAATATAGTACGTAAGCACACTAAAATGTGTCAAGAGTGTATATGGCGTTCATTAGACTAAGATAGTGGATCTCAACCTGCTTTGCACCATGCAACTCTTTCACCATTATTAGAAGATCATTCTCCCCCCTCTTGCTTTGAAAAGCTCGAAAAATACGTATAGGCATTTATTTGTGTCACATGTGTCACACAAACTTCACATGTGTTTAGATTTAGGTTACTTTTTAATGTGTTATATAAATTAAACAACAAGCGTAGAAAATGTTGATAAATGCCAAAACTGGAATAAAAATAATTTTTTATATTCATAAATTGAAAGTAAATATTTAACAGCTAAATAAATGGTTGACCACATTCCTACCCTGAAATTATGAAATACTTCCTAGAGGGTATCCGCCATAGTTGAGAGCCCATAGATTAAGACGATCACTTCCTAGATTTCATAAAATTTCTTTAATCACGCATTCTTATTAAGGACGATGAACTAAATAGTTTAATTAAAAATAAACGCTCAACAGTTTAATTAAAAATAAATGATAAGTGATATTAAAAAAAGAGAAAATAATTAGCATTTGAATTCCGTATATCTGTAAGATATATATGATAAACAAAGGATACAAAAGAATGTCACAGTCTTCTATATATATATATGTATGTATTAAAGACATAAAGTAAGCAATTTAGAACTAATGTTTCACAAAGACGAAAATTTTGAAATTCATAATTAATTTCAAATAATAATGAATGCAACAAAGAATTTAATAAATATAAAAACCTATTTTTTAAACAATCAATATTCCAATTCAAAAAATTCCTAAAATAAATTTAAAAGAAAAAAAACAGAAGATTAATTTAATCAACTTCACTGCTACTTCATCAGGGAAAAGGAACATTGAAATCTCTCTTCTACAAAAATACTTGCTTTTCTGTATCCAGAATTAACCGATGAACCATTTCAATGTACTTTAATTACAATAGTTCACCCGAAAATGTGATATATGTTTGAAAGAAAATTTTGATTTATTTTTTCAATGAAGTATTTTAATTATTTACTTTCGGTTTCAATTCTTTAAACAAAATAGAATTCTCTTTATTTAGCACAAGTTTTAATTGAATTTTTTCCTTGCCTTGGGAAAGGGCCAGAATTTTCGGCTGAACTATTATAATTAAAATACATTGAAATGGTTCATTGGCTAAGTCTGGATACAGAAAAGCAAGGATTTTTGTAGAAGAGAGATTTCAATATTCCTTTCCCCTGATGAAGTAATATTGAAGTTAACTGAATTACTCTTCTGTTTTGTTTTTTTAATCTCTTTTCGGATTTTTTTTTTTTTTTTTTTTTTTTTGGATTGGGGTATTCATTGCTTAATAGTTTAGGTTTTTACATTTATTAAATTCTTTGTTGCATTTATCATTATTTGAAATTTATTAATTATGAATTGCAAAATTTTCGTCGATGTGAAACATTATTTCCAAATTTCTTACTTTATGTCTTTAATTTTCAGCAGCTTAAAGCGCAAAAATGCTACGCATATTTATATTTTGTTTTAAAAAACTGTTTTGTAATTATGTATATATATTTATATACATACCAAGTAATCTGTCTTGCCTCAGTGTCATTCTTTTGTAGCAAACCCAGGCAATAACCACTGTTGTGACAATGACAACAACAGATGCTGCTACTGGAATAACAAAGTACGGCCGAAAGTAAAACGGCGTGTTGCTATGTGTTGCTGAAAACGGCACAGATATTTCTAAAAGAAAGAAAAATGAATGAGGTTAGACGGTAAAAAAGAACAGGTTTATATGTAATCATAATAATGCCTTTGGATTAAGAAGTTTTAATTTGTATAAGTTGTGCACTATACACAGTGTCCACACAACCCCTCGGCTTTTATTTTCGCAACCACTATTAATACACATATACTCCCAGTTACAAAAATGTTTAAATGATATAAATATTCATATTTTGGCATTTTTAAATTTAAACAAATTCCTTTTGTAAAAATTACGAACTGCACCAAATTTAATTGAAACCCCTTCTTATCTAACCATAAGACCATTTTCTTAGTGCCAAGTGCCCCACAACGAACAATAGCCAGCTGACTGACTGACTGATAGAGCTATGTTGGCATACCATAGATAAATATGGTTTATCCGGCTCGGTGAGAATTTATGCCAAACGAGCGCATTCACGTAAATCTATCATCAACATTATCCACCAGGAAGGAGGAGGTCAAGGAAAGGATAGCCAACATCGCAGAGGGAACTCGTGATTGGTAGTGTGCTCTAGCCCTGAGTGAAGCAAACACGAGATTGGGAATCATAATGAAATAAAATAAACATAGAATAACTGTAATGACAAATATTAGAACTAAATTAAAAGTGATACAGATAATAATAAGAAATAAGTAAAATTGTACATTAATTGCAATGTAATTTATAATAGGTGCACAGTATTTACATATGGAAGTAGCATTAAGTGGGAAAGTTTGAGTCCCTGATAAGGTGGGCCGCTAGCATGTGATGACAATTCGTAGCCTTGTCGAAGGAGGTTTTATTTATTTTCTTCAAATATTTATCCAATCTGTCCAGCTTTAAATCACAGTGAAGTGTGGCGTTACTAATATAATAGTGGGTGTTAGTAATTAATCTTAGTACTTTGTTTTGCAGCACCTAGACTTTTTTAATATCATCATTCGTGGCGATGTTTCAAGCGGGCGAGGCATACGTGATTAACGGTCTAATTGCAATGATATAGACAAAATGTTTCTTCCTCAGGGCAAGGCTTGAATAGTTGCCTAGAATCGGAGTCAGACTGTTGATCACAGAGAAAACTTTCTTTTTAATTTTTGTAATATGGTCATTTTAGCCTTTCGTTTAACATTACGCCCAGGTACTTTGCCTTGCATACCAGAGATTATTCCTCTGAAAACAAGAAGAGCTTTCTTTTAATCTGAGATTGTGAGTGCTTCCTTCTGATTAACAATAATTGTGATTCCTTCTGAGTAACAATAATTATGAACTTATTTGCATTTATGGTTATTCGCCAAATGGTGCACCACTTTTCGACTGGAAGGAGATGTTGCAACTTCTTAATGGCGTGGTTTGCGTTTGCAGATTTTACAGCTAATGCTGTATCGTCCACATAGCACCCAAGAAAGTGGTTTCTTTCAGCTTTTCCATCTCCCACCTTATATACGAAGGCTGAAATGGAACAAAGCAAACACACGAACTGCGCGACTTTGCCTTTCCTCACAAAAAGATGGGTGCTACAAAAAGTCATTTAGCCTTATTACTGGGATATTTCATTGACACTTCAACCTCTATTTTCGTTTACCAGAATGTTTACCGATGTTTCAAAAATTGTGCATACAATACAAATATTAAATTAAAAATCTGGTATATGGTAAAGTAAAAATGAATTTCTTTTAGAATCACATTACAGTTTTGTAATGCTTAAAAGAATATATATGTATATCTGTAAGATACAACAAAATACGATAGCTGCTTTAAAAATAATTGGGGACCTTAAAATTAACATTCTAGATTTGGTGATCTCCCCCTAAATTCATCTATTCTCCCAAATTCGAGATCTTTCTACGTTATGTAACGCTACTGGAAAAGAGCAACTAAAACTAATATTAATCAATCAGAGCTTATTTCTAGAATCGAACCTACTTTGGTATAAATACCTCTGGCGATAATATTACGTCACTATCCTGGTAGCTTCTATATTGCTAATATCTTCTCGCTTCGCTTCTCTAAAATGCCTGCTTCTTAATTTTAAGAAACCAATGTACATAGCAATTTATCATATTTCATTATGATTAAATCATAGAAATGTATCGGATTTCATTATGATTGGATAAATATCTACGGAAATGATTTTATATACGGGGAAATAAAGACTAGAAATTCTTAAAGTTTCATATTTTGTTATCTTCATCTGTAAGTTTTCACCATAAGCCACAACGACTGCAAGCTGATTCCTTTTCTGTGCTTCAAAAATATTACACATACACTCATGTCCATAAATTAAGGATAATGCAAAATCAGGCAAAGGAAGAGTTAGACGCAAAACAAATTTGACTCATTTGTAAAGCTTATTTATTAAACAAAAGGTAAAGAGCAAAAAAAGATGCTATATGTTTGATATTATTAAAAAAAGTTACCAATTTTTTCTCCCTGGAGCAAATTACAAAACCTATTTACAAAAAACCAATATTACATGGTTGGTATGATTGTTAATACATTGCATGTCTCCCAGACGATGCAATACAGTCCGTACGAACGCCCTAGGCATGCTGAGTATCAAATTATCGATCTGATCTTGGGGGATATTACACCACTCAAAAAGCAATGCTCTCCGAAGTTCCGGTAGACATGTAGGAGGAGGTTGACGGGCTGCAACTCGTCGGCCAAGCATATCCCACACGTGCTGTACTGGATTCAAGTCTGGTGAGAATGCTGGCCAGTCCATACGGGTGATATCTTCCGATTGAAGGCATTCGCTTACGATATTTGCACGGTGAGGACTGGGCGTTGTCATCCATAAACACAAATTGTGCGCCCATGGCGCCCCGAAACAAATGTACATGTTGTTCCAGAATGACGTCCCGATAGATTTGGCTTGTTATGATTTTCCAATTTGAACATGCAAGGTCAGTTCTGGAACCCAGAATAATTCCACCCCAAACGAGCACTCCTGCACCACCGTAACGGTGTCGTTCAATGATGTTTTCTTGGTGGTAACGAATACCTGGACTCTCCATATGAAAGTCCGGCGAGAATCAGACTGCAAGCTAAACCTGGACTCGTCGGAAAACATCACACAAGCCCACTGTTGCGGTGTCCACAATGCATGCTCTCTACTCCAGGCTAACCGCAGGCGACAGTGAGTTGCAGTAAGTGGAACGCATCTGACAGGTCTACGAACATATAACCAATCTGCCCTAAGCGTCTGTACACGGTCTGCCTTGAAACTTGTCGTACCAGTGGCTGAAGAGAGCTGACGAGGCAGGTCTCAGGCTGTGCTCCGCCTGTTTCTTTTGGCAGTAACTGCCAAATACCGGTCCTCATTCGGCGTTGTAACTCTGAGGCGACCTGTGCTGTAACGTCTACTCACATTACCATCATCCTGGAATCGTTGCCAAAGCCTGGAGATGACACTCTGGGCAATTCCAAGTTCGTCTGATACTTCCAAATGGGTACGCCCACATTCCAGACGGCCGATAATTCTACCACGTAAAAAGTAATCCAAATGCGTCCTTTGTGTCATAACTATTCGGTTATTGCACTGAAATGCTTATAAAGCGCCTGCGAACAATTTTACTCCTTTGCCCGTATTCCTTACATATCACTCTCTTACACTCTCATCATTGTGACGTACCAGTCATCTGGTGTCATCTGGTTACTTCCTGAAATTTGCATATGATTCTTGAAGATGTGTGTAGTGATTTTACAGGTTATATGTTTATTTTAGATTTCGATTTCCGCGTGACTCCGAATTATACTTAATTTATGGACATGAGTGTATATAAATTAACCTATCAAGTATCGGATTTGTAGCGCACCTTAGACTAGTTTTTTTGTCTAGATAAATATTAGCAAATTGTCTAAGATGGTATAGAATTGTTTTAACTGTCAAATTTACCATTTTAGATAAATAATTTTAATTTAATTAAAAAAATTCTCTTGATTAAATCTAAAAATTAGGTTTGTAAAGCTGGTCTAAATTCAAGCCAATATTACTGTAACATATGCCTTATTGTAATATATGCCTCATTAAGCTTTTCATTTTTAATCACTGAAGTTAGTTTAAAGTTATTGAATTTTCTTACAAATTCCATGTTTAAATATTAGAAACGTTGAAATCTTTATTCTGTTTTCCAATAACTCTAACCGTATTTTATTCTTGTTTTACTCTGACATGCATTTGATTTATAATACACATTTAATTAACAATAGATGATGATTGTGAGCATCTGCAGTATTTTCATAAATCATAAAAACTTTTTCGAACTCACTTATATTCATATCTTGGGATTTTAACTTCCTCTTCATCTATTTATTTTTCATATATTGTCGTATTGTATTCAAGTTGTCATGTATCTAGAATTTGTATATTGTTGTATTGTAATTATGCCACCTCATATTTAAATGATAATTTTCATAAACTCTTGCATCATAATTCTAGTTAACAGAAGATGTTTCTAACACCTTAACACACAGATTAATCTTAAGTTTTCAATATGCTGTTTATTTTCCAGTCTAGTTTCAGGTTTAATTATTAGTAAAATTAATTATTTGAAATTATTTTTAAAGAAAGACGATCGCTTTAAAGCACGCTAATATTCCTAACTGTTGTAATTTATAATAGAATGAGTTCATGCGACTTATAACATACCTCATTTATAATTTTTATAAAATTTTCCGGCAGTATTGGAATCAACAGTAGATATTCTTAATGCTCTACACTTAGATTACAATGATTTAATTGTAAACCGAACTTCTTCACTGATGCTTTTATGTTATATTCTTGATATTTCATAATGACATACATCAGATAAGTTTGACTCATTTACCAAACATATAAATCCATAATTCAGCATACTTTTATGTTTACGAATACTGTTTTTTCTTTTTTCTTTAATATATTTCTCAACATATAGCATCTGATCAGCCTAATTTCAATAGGTCTTACGACCAGGCGGTGAAGTTATTAAACATTGGCAGTTCGACCGGAATTTTA